AAATTACGCACTCACCAGATGTGTAATGTATATACACATTAAATGAATCAGTAGAGGTCCCCTTTAGGAATTGGATATGATCCTGGTCAAGGGTATTCCTCCCTCTAGGCAAGGTGGTGCTGTCAGGAGCTCACAGGAAGTAAAGGATCCAGCTGGCCAGAGGTCCCGTTAAGGGATGGATGGGTGTGGATGCCTGCTTTCAGGAACTCCCTTCTCTGGATACTGCTGATAGCTGGATCAGATTGGCTCTACAAATGAATAGCGTCCAGAAGGCAAATGGCCGCCGGGCCTCCACGTGGCTCCGGCGGCGTGACGTCACGGCGTTTTGGCTCCTGCTAACGCATTTCGTACGCACGCACTTCTTCAGAGGTGGATACCAATGATGCCATGACGTTAACCAAATGTATTTATAGGCAAAAAGGCGCGTGCACGTTACACCGGCGCTATTTTGCCGAAGACCACATGCGCCGGGTACCGAGAGCAATGTGATCATGCCACTGTGCATCTCATGGGGCACACTAGTGTGCATGTGCTCAGCAATGTACGGGTACATCTCCTAGCCTGACTGTGTTGTCTGCTTGCAAAGTACTTTGGACAGCTAGCTAGTGGTTAAAGCAGAAGTAAAGTCACAGCAACAACATCTTTTCCAAGTCTTTTTCTGGTTGTAGGATCTTCAGCCTGGATTGACTGACCTGGAATGACAAAACTCCTGCACATTCCCATTGGAGTTCATTCATTCTGACACCAATGTGTGCTGACAATTTACAATGAGATGTGCATGCACAGTTCAGTGTACATTCCAAAGATTGCAAAGAGACAGGTAAGTTTGTTTTATTGCAGAAGAAATATAGCCTGCTTGCAATTTTTACATTTTTACTTTGACTTCTGCCTTAACAGAATTTTCAGTTTAAATCAACCCAATTCATTGAATGTGCATTGAAACAAAAGGTTTGCACAGTTAGTTTGTTTTCTTTTCAAAGAAGCCACAGCCTTAGTAGAAAAACCTTCCAATATGCTGTAGGGACTTTAGGTCTCTGGGTTGACGTAGTGATCTGGCCTGGAAAGGGGGGTTAGTTTCTTTTTAGTGGGTTTCGAGCCCTATCGTCAGCCTTTCTAAGGTGCTCTTCCCTTTGCTAGGGTATAGAAGCAAGGGGTGGAGCTGGTAGAGGGCAGTTCTTGCATGGGGACAGTGAGTACAATGGAGAGCTCCAGTGGGTAGTGGTACGCAGGCCACGTGTTCCTCTTAGTGTGCCCCCTGCTTTGGGCCTAATTCATTCAGTAAATTGGAGGATATCTCAGAGCATAGCTTATGAAATGGGCCCTATACCTCTGAAAAGGACTGTTTGTTGTTCTGATGAGGGACAGTGCTCTAACCTGAGCATTTGTTACACCATGCCATTTTTTGGAGTCTGCAGTACTGCTCAATGAATTCAGTAAAAAGACAGAAAAACAAGCTTTCTGACTACACTTTCCTTTACTGAGTGAACTGGGGTGAGTGAGGAGCAGTGTATAGCATGAAGGGTTTATCTACCCTTGCAACGTCCTATATACAGCAGGAGCAGCTGTAATGGAAACTTTTCCACGTCAAGTAGAGCTTTGAGTATTCAGCTGCTGTTCTGGGTTATAAGAAGAGAGAGACTCTACTGTGGATGCTTTTGGAACCTTAGGTCTCGGAATATATATGGGTGAACTAGGTAAACCACCCATGGAGTGTGAGGTTGGTTGTGTTCCTGGGCCATACAGCCACCCACAACTTGGGAGGCCCAAGAGGTCACATAATGGTGATAAGTACCCCGCCTACAAGGAGGAGGCAGCACAGACACCTCATATTCTACAGTAGCCCCCCACACCCTTGCATGAAACCTGGCCTACCAACCAAGGGGGTGTTAAGGGGGTGCTATATTTCTTCAGAGGTCCAAAACAACCCCAGCTGAGTAGGGCTTCATTCACACAGATGCATAGACTCTGTGCAGAAGTTGCAGTTTTTACACCCAAGGAATGAAAGGTGTTTCATGCAGCCCAATGCAGCCAGCCTTTCAAAACCAACAACATGCAGAGAGGCACAACAGCTGTATGGATCTTAACGCACAGTCTTTACAATCATACAAGGAAGGACTCACAGCTCAGGATGTAGATTGTCTGCATCCAGAGCTCTGTGTCTGTCTCTGTACTGAAGGACAGACTGGGAGGGTTTCAGCAATAGAGGCAAAGCTGCCAATCCAGAAAGCAGTGGACAGGAAAAGGTGTGTCCTGTGCTGATTGGCAGACTATAGGCTTGTGAACCAACAGTGACAATGCTGATAGCCCCACCCCTTCGGAAGTGTATGCAGGCACATCCTACATAAGTGGCAACTCTGCTCTGATTCTAGGAGCAGTGCAACATTATTGCCACGTTATCACAGGAAGCTCTATTAGGTGGACTTCACTGGCAGGATCAGCAGGTATTTGTGAGACTTTAAAGGGGTGCTAAGAGATTCTAGGACAGCCTTTCTCAACCTTTTTAACATGAAGGAACCCTTGAAATTATTTTAAAGTCCTAGGAACCCTATATCTACAACTCATTGTATTAATGTGATAGTCACTGGAAAGAATGCTTCCTACATTGGTGGTCATTGGTAAGAATACCCCTTTACAGATAGCTAAAAAAAATCATTGTTGTCAGTGGTTACCCTTTGGAGAAGAGGAACTTGTCATTGCTCAAGGAAGCCCTAGTAACTTCTGGAGGAACCCTGGCTGAGAAAGCCTGCCCTAGAGCATAGCTTCTTGAGTAGTGTACATGCAAGTGGAGAGGAAGGAGACAAAGCAAGGGTGGGGAAGACGATGATGAAAACAGGAAGGAGAAAGAGACAGTATCTGACTGCTTTTAGAATTGTACTGTCTTTTGCTGGGGGGAGCATCTCCAGAGTCAGACCTGCTGCGGGTAGAACTGAGACCTCAATGACACCACCATGAGACCAGAGAGAAAGCATTATAAAGTGCAGAGCTGGAGCTATGTTATCACCACAGTGAACTTTGCTCTGCACTCACATCAAAACCATACCACCGGGTGAGTCAGGGCACAGAGCCATGCTGAACCGCAGCAGAGGATTTCTTCTCAAGCAATGGAAATTTCCAAGCTGGGTTGCTAAGTCTGGTGAGAGGGCCTTTCAGCCATGACTTACTGCCACTAGAGAGACTGAGCCTTTAGAAACTTACCACCTAGCTGTCCCATAACCCGTTACTACCTGCAGGCCTTGCTGTGACTGTCTTTGTATGCGCCAGTGGTATGATTGGGCTCCAACGCTAGCCGGCTGAAGATTCAGGACTGACTGTTTACAGTTGCCACAAAAAGACCTTTGCTAGTTGCTTAGTTCAGAAGTACAACATCCCTATTGTCAACACAGTTAATGTTCATGTTTGCTGTCTATTGCTGATCTTTCTGGTTCTTGTGTTAACGCCAGTCTAGTGGTACAGGGCTCTAATCTGAGTAACTCTGGCAAAGTGATTTTACTGTCTAGCGGAGTGTGTTGAAAACCTACCTCCTGTATGTTTATTGATGTTCAAGACTCTATTTACTCCAATTCACCCTAATACACTGAGTTCCTTTACCACTAAATGGTCTTGTGTCTATTCCCTGGTACTAGCACACTACCAAATCAAGGGTATGTTTGCTTGTGACTCCTTTAGTGCTGTGGTGCTTTCCATTCAGCTAGGCATGTCAGAGAGGCTAGGAGCGTTATCTGAGTCAAGGCACAGAACAGAGAACCCAGGTTACTAAACTGCTCCTTTGGGGGTGGAGGTACACTTATAATCAAGAAATCTAGCTAAAAGAATGTGCACCTTTATTTTCGCTTTGTGGAAAGGGGCAGAGACACAAACTACTGTAGAGAAATCTTTCAATAATCAGCCGATGGGGCAAATTTAAAAGGTATCACTATGTTTCAGAAATGTGATGCCACAGTTCTTAGGATTTCACAGTCAGCATAATGAGGTCATAGTGAGTATTCTGTCCACGTTAGTATTGAAATAACACAGTCCATAATATGTAATTTTAAGAATTGCATTGCAAGGTTATCCTGAGAACCGCAAGACAAAGTGAGAACTGGGATGCCATATAGTCCACTGGATTCTGCTAGCCCAATGTATAAAATTGAAAGTACTAACAATAACATACAAAACCATCCTCAACTCTGCCCCCCAGTACATCACCAACCTCATTTTGAAATATCACCCAAACCATCCTTTCCACGGACTTCCTGCTCTCCAGCTCCTTTGTAATCTCCTCCAATGCTCACCTCCCCTGAAAACTCATCTCTTCAAATACGCCTATCCCACCTCCACCTAAAAACTTCTAGCTTCTAACTTCTCCATCATTGCATCCTTCACTTTTATTACCTTTTCCTCCTCCATTTTAGATTGTAAGCTCTCAAGGACAGGTCCTTCCTAGCCCTTTAGTATTGAATTGTATCTATTCAGCATGTATAACTCATTGCTAAGATCAGTTAAATAATTGTTACTGGTGATGAAGCACTGTTGTTTTAGTATACAAGAAAAGATACAAACACTTATCATTGCAATGTATTGTTTTCCTTTTATATAGGTTATGCAATATTCAGTAAAACAATAAACTGACTCATAGATTATCTTCCTTGTTTTTTTTTCCACCCTCTTTCCCGTCCTGACTGGTGAAACCATATAGTTATTAAACGTGTTATCAGGACACCTGTCTTAACTGTTGTGAAGGCCCTCCAGTCAGCTCTGCCTGAAAACCTGAACACAGTTTTTTTAATGTCCCACATGTATGAAGGAAGTGTTCCTCACTAATATATCCTAGAATCAGGTTATAAGTGATAAATGCTATGCCTACTCAATAATCAGAATGCAAGGTTCAAATTTCAATATCATGCAATAAATATATACACTATATTGCTAAAAGTATTGGGACACCCCACCAAATCATTGGTTTCGGGTGTTGCAATCACCTCCATGGCCACAGGTGTATAAATTCAAGCACCTAGGCATGCAGACTGCTTCTACCAACATTTTCTGAAAGAATGAGCTCTGTGAATTCAAGCGTGGAACCGTGATAGATTGCCACCTGTGCAATAAGTCCATCCGTGACATTTCCTTGCTACTAAATATTCCACGGTCAACTGTTAGTGGTATTATAACAAAGTGGAAGCAACTGGGTACAACAGCAACTCAGCCACAAAGTGGTAGGCCACGTAAAATGACAGAGTGGGGTCAGCGCATGCTGAAGCACACATTGCACAGAAGTCACCAACTGTCTGCAGAGTAAATAGCTAAAGACCCCCAATCTTCATGTGACCTTCAGATTAGCATAACAACAGCTTCATGGAATGGTTTTCCATGGCCGAGCAGCTGCATCCAAGCCTTACATTAACAAGTGCAATGTAAAGTGTCTGATGCAGTGGTGTAAAGCACTCCACCACTGAAATCTAGAGCAGTCATGACATGTTCTCTGGAGTGACGAATCAGGCTTCTCTGTCTGGCAATCCAATAGACATGTCTGGGTTTGGCGATTTCCTGGAGAACAGTACTTGCCTGACTGCATTGTGCCAAGTGTAAAGTTTGGTGGAGGGGGGATTATGGTGTGGGGTTGTTTTTCAGGGGTTGGGCTTGTCCCCTTAGTTCCAGTGAAGGGAACTCTTAAGGCGTCAGCATACTAAGACATTTTGGACAATTTCATGCTCCCACCTTTGTGGGAACAGTTTGGGGATGACCCCTTCCTGTTCCAACATGGCTGCGCACCAGTGCACAAAGCAAGGTCCATGGATGAGTGAGTTTGGGGTGGAGGAACTTGACTGGCCTGCACAGAGTACTGAACTCAACTCAATAGAACACCTTTGGGATGAATTAGAGCAGAGATTGCAAGCCAGGCCTTCTCGTCTGACATCAGTGTCTGACCTCACAAGTGCGCTTCTGGAAGAATGGTCAAACATTCCCATAGACACACTCCTAATCTTTGTGGACAGCCTTCCCAGAAGAGTTGAAGCTGTTATAGCTGCAAATTGTGGACCAACTCAATATTGAACCCTACAGACTAAGATTGGGATGCCATTAAAGTTCATGTGCGTTTAAAGGCAGGCCGACCAATACTTTTGGCAATATAGTGTTCATAACAAACAAAAGTCCCTTGTGTTTTCTTATAATAGTCTCTAAGTTGCTCCAATAATTGAAACTGTGTAACTCTCAGTGCTCCATTAATTAATCAGTGCTCAGTGGTTCCCACCACCCCAACTATGCGCTCACCTCCACCTTTGGACCTGTATGTACTCATGTCAAAGTATGCCTTCCCCTACTGGGGTACAATCCAGGCTCCAGTTCCAATGCCTCTCCGGATGTTAAAAGCCACTGGATCTTGTTAGCAATGATATATGGGACTTGCTGAAGAAATGGTGTGTAGCCCCTTTACCCCCGTGGTGCTCTAGGAGCTCAAAAAATATGGGGGCCTTTTGTGGTGTAGTATTTAACAGTACCGGTATCTGTTTTATTAAAACTGAATTGCAATTACAAGAAAGAAAAAATATTGGGCATAACATACACAGATTTTGTGATCGCTGTCAATGGTCTTCAAAGCAGTTACATAGTACAGAGCTGCTCAGATCAGCTCTGTACACTGTCTCTGTGAACCAAGCTATCAGACGATGCCCCCTCCAGGGGCTTTTTGTGAAGCACTTCAGACACAGATGCCCACATCCCTGCTGGTGGTAGAGAGGTGGCAAAGGGTATATTCTGTGTTTGCTAAGGCTGAAAAACAAATGCAGCCACCACATCTGAGAACTTGTAAGTTAGAATATATTTTAATTTCGTTCTTTTAGATATATTTTAAGTTTTCCTGTGGTCTGCATTTGGAAGATGTGATTTCCATTTCTATTTACATAAAATACCTTTGCAAACATATACACAGCCTATTAAGCACATGGCCATACAGTAGAAGTTTATATGGGCATAGACGTAGTACATTGACCAGGGGGCCATAGAAGTGATATAGTTACATAGTTAGTCTGGCTGAATAAAGACAAAAGTCCATCCAGTTCAGCCATTAAACCATTGACCAAGTGGCCATAGAAGTGATATGGGCATAGCTGTAGTACATTAACCAAGTGGCCATATAAGTGATATAGGTATAGACATAGCACACTGCTCAAAAAAATGTAAGAAATACTTTGAAAACACATCAGATCTCAATGGTGAAAAATATCATGCTGGATATCAATACTGATATGGACTGGGTAATGTGTTAGGAGCGTAAGGATTCCCCATCATTAGATGGAAATGAAAATTGTCAACCTACAGAGGACTAAATTCAAAGACACCCCGAAAATCAAAGTGAAAAAATGATGCAGCAGGCTAGTCCATTTTTTTTTAAATTTCATTGCAGCAACTCAGAATGATACTCAGTAATTTGTATGGCCTCCACGTGCTTGTATGCATTCCTGACAACATTGGGGCATGCTGCAAATGAGACGACGAATGGTGTCCTGGGATATTTCCTACCAGATCTGGACCAGGGCATCAATAAGCTCCTGGACAGTCTGAGGTGCAACCTGGCGGCATCGGATGGCCCGAAACATGATATCCCAGAGGTGTTCTATTGGTTTTAGGTCAGGCGAGCGTGGGGGCCATTCAATAGTATCAATTCCTTCATCCTCCAAGAACTGGCTGTACACTCTTGCCACATGAGGCCAGGCATTGTCATGCACCAGGAGGAACTCAGGACCCACTGCACCAGTGTAGGGTCTGACAATGGGTCCAGGGATTTCATCCCAATATCTAATGGCAGTCAAGGTGCCATTGTCTAGCCTGTAGAGGTCTGTGCATCCCTCTATGGATATGCCTCCACAGACCATCACTGACCCACCACCAAAACAGTCATGCTGAACGATGTTACAGGCAGCATAACATTCTCCAAGGCTTCTCCAGACCCTTTCATGTCTGTCACATGTGCTCAGGGCGAACCTGCTCTCATCTGTGAAAAGCACAGGGCACCAGTACCGGACCTGCCAATTCTAGTGTTCAATGGCAAGTGCCAATCGAGCTCCATGGTGCTGGGCAGTGAGCATAGCCCACTAGAGGATGTCAGGCCCTCAGGCCAGCATCATGAAGTCTGTTTCTGATTGTTTGGTCAGAGACATTCACACCAGTTGCCTGCTGGAGGTAATTTTGTAGGACTCTGGCAGTGCTCATCCTGTTCCTCCTTGCAGAAAGGAACAGATACCGGTCCTTCTGATGGGTTAAGGACCTTCTATGGCCCTGCCCAGCTCTCCTAGAGTAACTGCCTGTCTCATGGAATATCCTCCATGTTCTTGATATACAGCAAACCTTCTGGCAATGGCTATATTGATGTGCCATCCTGGAGGAGTTGGACTGCCTGTGCAACCTCTATAGGGTCCAGGTATCGCCTCATGCTACCAGTAGTTACACTGACCCTAGCCAAATGCAAAACTAGTGAAAAACAGTAAAAAAAAAAGGAGTAAGGGAAAACATCCACCTGTAAAACCATTCCTGTTTTGGGGGTTGTCTCATTGTTGCCCATCTAATGCACCTGTTTTTAATTTCATTAACACCAAAGCAGCTGAAACTGATTAACAACCCCCTCTGCTACTTAACTGACCAGATCAATACCCTAGGAGTTTAACTGACTAGATTCTATTCTCTGATTAAAAAGTGTTCCTTTAATTTTTTTGAGCAGTGTATATTGATCAAGTGGCCACAGAAGTGATGTGGATGTAGATGTACTGTAGTACATTGATCACGAAGACAAAGAAGTGATATGGGTGTAGACATAGTACATTGACCAAGTGGCCATAGAATGATATGGACGTAGATGTAGAACATTGACCAAGTGGCTATAGAAGTGATATGTAGTACATTGACCAGGTGGCCATAGAAATGAGTCTGGAAGCTTGAAACAATAACTCTGCACAACTGAATAATATAGAAAAATTGTGGCATTTCAGGGGGAAAATATTTTTTGGAGCTCATATGTGCTAATTTAATTATCTGGAATTAATTAAGGAAGAGTAGAGAACCAATTGCTCCCTAAGCTTTGGATACGTAATAGGATATGGTATTTATAAATTGCTCACCAACTCACAAATTTGCAAGTGTATGCATAAATTGCTAAGCAGTCAATGATCACTGTTCAGCAATCTAACTCAGGCTATTTTACATTCATGGTTGTACTACTACAAATTGTCATAGCTTTAGGCCTTTAGAAAGAGATAGAACTAGCCTTAAACTAGCCTTGCATCTGTAGAATTTTGTTAAAAAAATTGTCCAGAAAGTATGAAAATCACTCGTTAGACCATTCTATAGTGTCTTCATGGACTCAGCTAATTTCACACGACTTCATTCAAGTATCATGTCATTGTCTTGATTTTCATAGAATGAGCTATATACTTCTGGATTAACTTTAGAAATTAGTTCCCATTGAACTCAACATAACTTTCCATCCCTGTTCTTTGATTTGTTCTCTTGCTCAGGTCGAAACTAACTGTTGAGTCATCCACTTTAATGCTTAGATAACATAACCGATGTTTTGAAAAAGACATCTTTCGAACAAATTTTACAGGTGTAAGGCCACATTTAGACAATGAGATGGTGGTGAGAAGATCTGATTTCAGAAAGATTGGTGCATAAACACACTGGGACAAGGTTCTTTAGTACCCAAGATGAAATAGCCAAACTGTGAACCACCCCTCTTCCCCCCAACATTAGCTGTGAACAACTAATCGGCATAGTTGGAAGGTTCTGCCTTTTTGGAGCCAATTCCTTCTGAAGCACCCAAAGTGGTTGCCTCTCCTGCCTTCCCCTTGCATGCTCATACTAGCAGAGCCTATAGGTTTATATTCTGTGGTGTATAGTGCTGGTCTGATCTCTAGGAAACTCCAGCCTGGCAGTTTGATTATTTCAAATTGTGTAACCAATTCCTTAACTGACAACATACTTCTTCATATTAGTGGCAGTTGTCATCTGTGAGGTTAACAAATGTGTAATCAGAAAGCAGTAGGAACACACACAGCAGCACCTACCACTGACATGAAAGGATTTCAGAGCCTTTGAGAGAGACAGCAAAGCTTTCCCCATGTTACCTGATCCTGGGTGTGTAGCTCAGATACTGTCCTGTATGCTTTCACACTCTCCGCCTTCTTCCTCCAGGCCCTGAAAAAAAACACGCAGGTAACTCACTCAATTTAGAAAGAATCTTAGGTATGCCTTCAGCGCACCGAGAATGGGAGGGGTAGGCATAGGTGTGGAGGCTCAGGTCAGGGAGAAGTTCAGAACACAAGTAGGCAGGCTTCTAGTAGACAGGAAGACAGTAGCTGGATGTGATTGTGTATTGGCAGGGAGGAAGTGCTGCCTGAAACCTTGTCTGCTGATATACCATAGTATGGACTGATATAATTGGCCACTGAGCTGGAGATCCCTAGTTCACG